TATATCAAAAGGATCATACACCATGACCAAGTGGGATTCATCCCAGGGATGCAAGGATGGTACAACATTCGAAAATCCATCAACATCATCCACCACATCAACAAAAAGAAAGACAAAAACCACATGATCATCTCCATAGATGCTGAAAAAGCATTTGACAAAATTCAACATCCATTCATGATAAAAACTCTCAGCAAAATGGGAATAGAGGGCAAGTACCTCAACATAATAAAGGCCATATATGACAAATCCACCGCCAATATCATACTTAACAGCGAGAAGCTGAAAGCTCTTCACCTAACATTGGGGACAAGATAGGGATGCCCACTCTCCCCACTGTTATTCAACATAGTACTGGAGGTTCTATCCAGGGCAATCAGACAACACAAAGAAATACAAGGCATCCAGATTGGTAAAAAGAAGTCAAATTGTCACTATTTGCAGATGACATGATATTGTACATAAAAAACCCTAAAGACTCCACTCCAAAACTACTAGAACTAATATCTGAATTCAGCAAAGTTGCAGGATACAAAATTAATACACAGAAATCTGTTGCTTTCCTATACATTAACGATGAACTAGCAGAAAGAGAAATCAGGAAAACAATTCCATTCACAACTGCATCAAAAAGAATAAAATACCTAGGAATAAACCTAACCAAGGTAGTGAAAGACATATACCCTAAAAACTACAAGACACTCTTAAGAGAAATTAAAGATGACACTAATAAATGCAAACTCACCCCATGCTCTTGACTAGGAAGAATTAATATTGTCAAAATGGCCATCCTGCCTAAAGCAATCTACAGATTCAATACAATCCCTATCAAAATACCAACAGCATTCTTCAACCAACTGGAACAGATAGTTCTAAAATTCAGATGGAACCACCAAAGACCCCAAATAGCCAAAGCAATCCTGAGAAGGAAGAATAAAGTAGGTGGGATCTCACTTGCCAACTTCAAGCTCTACTACAAAGCCACAGTAATCAAGACAATTTGGTACTGGTACAAGAACAGACCCACAGAGCAGTGGAACAGAATAGAGTCCAGATATTAACCCAAACATATATGGTTAGTTAATATATGAAAAAGGAGCCATGGACATACAATGGGGAAATGACATCCTCTTCAACAGCTGGTATTGGCAAAACTGGACAGCTACATGCAAGAGAATGAAACTGGATCATTGTCTAATGCCATATACAAAAGTAAATTAGAAAGGGATCAAAGACCTGAATGTAAGTCATGAAACCATAAAACTCTTAGAAAAAAACATAGGCAAAAATCTCTTGGACATAAACATGAGCAACTTCTTCATGAACATATCTCCCCGGGCAAGGGAAACAAAAGCAAAAATGAGCAAGTGGGACTATATCAAGCTGAAAAGCTTCTGTACAGCAAAGGACACCATAATAGAACAGATGGGCATACTACAGTATGGGAGAATATATTCATAAATGACACATCTGATAAGGGTTGACATCCAAAATATATAAAGAGCTCATGCACCTCAAGAAACAAAAAGCAAATAACCCAATTAAAAAATGGGCACAGAATCTGAACAGACACTTCTCCAAAGAAGAAATTCAGATGGCCAACAGACACATGAAAAGATCCTCCACATCGTAATCATCAGAGAAATGCAAATTAAAACCACAATGAGATATCACCTCACACCAGTAAGGATGGCCAGCATCCAAAAGACAAACAACAAATGTTGGTGATGTTGTGGAGAAAGGGGAACCCTCCTACACTGCTGGTGGGAATGTAAATTAGTTCAACCATTGTGGAAAGCAGTATGGAGGTTCCTCAGAAAACTTAAAATAGAAATACCATTTGACCCAGGAATTCCACCCTAGGAATTTACCCTAAGAATGGAGCTGCCCAGTTTGAAAAAGACAGATTCACCCCTATGTTTATCACAGCACTATTTACAAAAGCCAAGAAATGGAAGCAACCTAGGTGTCTATCAGTAGATGAATGGATAAAGAAGATGTGGTACATATACACAAAGGAATATTATTCAGCCATAAGAAGAAAACAAATCCTACCATTTGCAACAACATAGATGGAGCTAGAGGGTATTATGCTCAGTGAAATAAGCCAGGCAGAGAAAGACAAGTACCAAATGATTTCACTAATCTGTGGAGCATAAGAACAAAGAAAAAAACTCAAGGAACAAAACAGCAGCAGACTCGCAGAACCCAAAAATGGACTAACAGTTACCAAAGGGAGAGTAACTGGGGAAGATGGGTGGGAAGGGAGGGATAAGGGGTAAAAAAGGGGCATTACTATTAACAGACATAATGTAGGGGGGCCACGGGGAGGGCTGTACAACACAGAGAAGACAAGTAGTGATTCTATAGCATATTACTACGCTGATGGACAGTGACTCTAATGGGGTATGTTGGGGGGACTTGGTGATGGGGGGAGTCTAGTAAACATGATGTTCCTCATGTAATTGTAGATTAATGATACCAAAAAAAAATTAAAAAGTTCTCAGCATAGTAAAGGTAATTCTATAAAATATTAAAAGTGATTTTAGTAGCAAAAAATACAGTAGCAAAAAAATTTTTTTTAAGACACCAAAATGTGTATTACTAAGGGAATGGATAAATAAACTGGGGTATATTTGCATGATGAAATAAAATGCAGCACTTAAAATGACTGAATGAGACTCCGTATGTGTTATGATCAGATCTTGAAAATAAAATGTTGAATGAGAAAGATATCTCCCAGGACCATTTATTTCCATGTAAAAGGTGACAATAAAAGAATAATGTTATTTAAGAATATATATGGGTAATAAAAATGTCAAAATGTAGGTTCTTGCCCCTGGTGAGCAGGGAAAGCTTGGAGCAGGTGAGAAAGGGCACTTTAACTTGGTCTCTGAAATGTTATTTTCCTTTAGATAAAAAAATCTGAGCCCCAAATGACAAAATGTTTAGAGTTATTCATTTAAGGTGGTAGATATATGGGTGCTTGTTGTATTATTCCTTGTACTTTCCTGTATTTTTAAAACTTAAAAAGAGAAAAGGAAAAGGAAGAAAGGAAATGGAGAACCCAAAGTATCTGCAATCTTAACAAAGATTTCTGTGCAGGGCCTGGGGAGAATGGTGGTCAGGAGCCCCTCGTCCTCTAAGAGGTGCAGGAAAACTAATTCAGAATGTTCCCCGACTAACACAGCAAGGCAGGTACACTGGCTTCCAGCATCACAGAGAACACTGCATGCACCTTTTTGCAACAAACAATGTAAACTCAGGTTTTAAGGCAGCTGGTACTGACGCTGTACACAGGCTTAGCTCTGCCTTTTTCAGAAATGGGACAGTTAGCACTTGAAAACAAGAAACTGTGCAGACGGAAAGGGGGAATCCGCATTTCTGGGGTAAAACAGTGTCTCAAAATACTTTCCTCTTCACACACACAAAAAGAAATCTTGGAATAGTTAGAAAAACAAAGCTCCCATCCTGCCAATTTAAGCCTGTTCATTAACAAATACTTCAAAAGACTGATGATAGTAGTGACTTCAGGCAGAGTGCCGGGGCCAGAGCCAAGGGCACCGGCAGCCAGCTAACCCCGACAGGCACCAAGGCCCCAGCCGCCAGGTGCAGCTGCTGTGGGAACACCCCCAGTCAGGCCAGAGCCGGAGGGGGCTCTGGGGCCCCACTACCGTCCGCTGTTCTTTAAGCAGTTCACCTCTGTTGTCAGCTGAGGAACCAGACACCTCTGTCCACATTTTAGAAATGACAGCACACGATCCAACATGAAGAGGACATGGACCGCATGGACAGGATCCCCAGATACAGCCCCGGGAACTTGAGAGGAGAAGGATGACCACAAAGGCCTCCCGCTGGGGGAGAATGAGCAGGTGCCCCCCCCAGCGGACACTGGCCCACTGTCCTGGCAAATCTACTAAAAAGCTGCCACTAGATTGGACAGATAGCATATGGGAAATAACATACAGGTTTGACACTGAGGCTGACTGAAGAATATTCCTCAGGTGGCACTTATTGGTGGCTCTCAAAGATCTTGTGAAGCGTGGGGACAGAAGCAAGTGGAGACCCTGCCAGCAACTTACCGTGTCCAGCTCTGATTCCAAGCTGCAGTTTTTAATTTGTGGGAACACCTCGCTGTATTTGCTGGGGAAAGCAGACGCGAGGTAGCCCTTCATTTGCTCCAGGTTGCTGGCTGTCAAAAAGCCATCTTCAAGGTCAAATGAATTGGTCAGCAGCAGAATCATCCTGTAGAGCAGAGCACACAATTATCTCCACCATCAGAAAAGCTGCTGTTGCCAAACCCTTTTGGAAGCTTGGATGCCGGGCTGCCCTTCCCTTGGCCTCTTTTCTGAGGTTGCTCTGGCAAAGGGAATCTTTTGATTGGTGGCCTTTTGGAGGGCAGGATGCTTCTGAAGGGCTACGGAGAAGCCTCAGGGTCGGGGACAAGGAGCCAGCCGGCACAGCCAGGCTACCAGCCGAGGACCACAAGCGCTAAAGCTTCTGTGATGATGGAAATGTTCTCCATCTGTGCTCCCTATGGTCCCCACTGGCCTCATACGCCAACTGAGTGAGTGTGGCTAGTGCTACTGAGGAACTGATTTAAATTAATTCACATTCAAATGGAAATCTATTTAAGTCAAAATTTAAATTCATTTAAATGAAATTTTAATAAAACTCACATTTTACTTTGTAAATAGCCACTCACAGCTAGCAGCTACCACATTGGACAGCCTACCTTCTAACGATGCTTCTTGTGTTTTGGGTAAGGGATGACAGGGAGAGGATCTGTAACTTCTGTGGCTCAGCTACAGGGCTTTTGGTTACTTTTGAGGTCAGGGCAGTGCGGGGCAGAAGAAACTAAGGTTTGTTGAGTGCCTCACTGTGCTAAGGGCTTCGAATATGTGAAGCTGCCCTCATTCCTTCAGGCAGCCCTTGCCCCTTGCCCCAGGCCCATCAGCTCCTGGGGGTGGTGGGTGGGGTACCTGGATTTGAACCCTGGATTGAGGGCTGCAAAGCCAGTGCCCTTTGCCCCACACCCCTCAGCTTCTCTGTGTCCACGTCTCCCCAGGGGTACCTTTGGTTTGGAGCTTTGGAGACTTGCCTCCCTCCCTGGAGGCCTGGGGTTTACTAGGGTGGCCCAGGCTTACTTGTTCAAGCAGTTTTCATAGTTGAAGGTGGCCTTGAAGCCGTAGATGGAGAAGGTCACGATGCTGGCGAATATGGAGGTGGCGCTGTTGACGAGGGACACGGTGAAGGCGTGCTTCTGGCAGTCGGTGGAGGGCTCGCTGTAGCTGGCAAAGGCGATCAGGCTGCCAAACCCCAGGCCGAGAGAGAAGAAGATCTGCGTGGCTGCATCGACCCAGGCCTTGGGGTTGGTCAGCTGCTCCGTCTGGAAAGCCAGCGGGACAGGGCTGATGGGTCCTGGTGGGGATCCCAAGCACTCCCTCCAGAGGAGGGCGGGAGGCCCGGAGACGGGAAGGAACTTGCCAGCGGCTCACTGCAGGTTCGAGGCAGGGCTGCGGCTGGGAAGCAGGCCTCTTTCCCCAGCAGAGAAAATACCCGGCATTCCTCACAATACTGCACAGCACCTGATCCATAGGTGTGCAGCTGACACACGTGGGGTGAAAGAATTATACAGGGTACTGAGCGACCAGGTTCTGCACAGGTCTGGGCCTCTGAAGATGGAGGTGGGGTGGCCATGTGGAGGAGATCGGGCCCAGACTGAAGCGCGGCCCTGACATTAAGGGCTGTTTGGAAGGTGGTGGGGGACATTTTTGGGGAGGTGCTGCCACAGTCATTCTGCTTCCAGGGGCCGGATCTGCTAAACAAAGGACTTGTCCTGTCCCAGGGCATTAGTGCCTCCCCTGACTGAGGAGCCCTGGCCCAGAGGTGCCGGGGGAGGGAGCAGGGCCCCTGTGGAGTGTGGAGTCACCCTCTAGCGACAGGGGGTGTGGAAGTGTGTGCGCAGGGGGGTGAGGTGACCAAGCAGCAAACAGCATAGACCTGAGGCTGGGAGTGGGTGGGGTGAGACTAGGGCCAGGAGGCCAGCAGGCCTCGCTGGGGGCAGTGCGGATGGGAGGAGAGGTGGACAAAAGACTCAGTATCCCAGAACTGACAGGGCTTGGGGACTGCCTGGCTGAGGAGGAGCCCTAGCACCCACAGGCAATCCTCACGTCCCCCACCTCCTGGTAGGGTCACCTGCCTCCCTGGGGGCACTGCAGCTTCCACCCACCCTCTGTCTTCCCTTCTTCCCACCCATCCTGGAAGGTGGCAGGGGGAATAGCGCTTTGTTGGGGGACCCTTCCCTCTAGCCCATACCTTGGGAGTGAACATGTATGCCAGGCCGTTGGTGGCTCCATGGAGCGTGAGGCCCCTGACCAGGTAGATGAGGAGCACGCAGTAGGGCAGCGACGCAGTCAAGTACACCACCTGCAGGCACCAGAGGGTGTGTCAGCCTCCTGGAGGGGGGGTGACCCCAGTGCCCCTTTTGCCCGGGACAAACTTGCCAGTCCTGTGGAACACCACACAGGCTTGGGTGCTCAGGCTGCTTATAGCCCCAAAGCACCACTGAAATCCTGGTTCAGACGCAGCATCTGAGCTCGGGCTGGGGAAGGGGCGGTGGCATCTGTAACCCCCTGGAAATCTCTGACTCGGTAGAGAAGAGGGAAATGTATGCGAAGCCTCTGCCCTCCACCCTCCCTTCAACCTGACCTTATTTCAGAAAGGATTTGGGGCAGCCTACCAAAATTTATCTGTCACATTAACATTTAAAAATTGATACAGAAATTGGTGTAAAAAGAAAATGTGGGCAATGCAGTAAGAGGAGCCCAAAGGAAAAGGCAGCCCACAGAATACCGTGTGTGTTCTAACCAGTCTCCGGGCCAGGGTCCTCTCTGAACTTCCCAGTGGCCCAAGCAAAGCAGGAAGTACAACCACAAGATCTCTACTGTCTCTAAAAGGGAAAAATTCAGGGCCCAGGGAGGGCCGACTTTTCCAGGACTGGGGGCTGAGAGAATCTGGGCCGTGAGCACTTGTGAAAGAAAAGCAGTGACGTTTGGCATAGGGGACAATGTCCCTCTGAGAGATGCAACGGCATGATTTTCTATGAAAGGTCTCACTTTCAGTGGGCTTTAAAACTGTACGTAAATGGAATTTTGTTCCACTGAATCTCCTGCTGACATGTAAGTTCAAAGATGCTTTATCTTTGGTGTTCACCCTGGCTTCGGCAATAGCCTCTCCAACTCTGGGTAACTCTAACCTTATGAAGCCTTAAAATAAAGACCTTAGGGCGGAGCCAAGATGGCGGCGTGAGTAGAGCAGTGGAAATCTCCTCCCAAAAACACATAGAGCTATGAAAATATAACAAAGAAAAATCTTCCTAAAATAGAGACCACAGGACACAGGACAACATCCAGACCACATCCACACCTGCAAGAACCCAGCGCCTTGTGAAGGGGGTAAGATACAAGCCCCAGCCCGGCGGGACCCGAGCGCCCCTCCCCCCGGCTCCCGGCGGGTGGAGAGAAACCGGAGC